TCAAAGCAATTGGTCGGTGGATAGGGTTTCTGGAAAGGTTGAATAGAATTTATGATGTAGATTTCGGGTGTGCTTTCAGGATGGGTTGAAAACCATTGGGTGGAGTATATGCATGTGAGATGCGGGGTTAGCCTATGCTTGCTAAATCATGTGGGGCCGAGAGTCCAAGTAAGACGGGGCTCGACTGCATTTCCCCCAGGGTGGGCCGGGCGGTGTTCGCCTATAGAGGTTTTTGCCCTCCCTTCCTTTGAAAGGGAAATGTCGCACACAAAATGTGAATTCACATGCTCGATACAAAGTGTGCAAAGTAAATCGGGAGATGTGTGGAAAGATTGTTTCAAAACACTCTCAGATTCAAACTTGTGCAAGAACCTAAAGCGGAGAGAACGCGCTCTGAAATTGTCCATGGCCTAAATTTCATTTCCCCAAATTAACTCGACTATCTGCAAAACTCAAACTGTTTGACACTGTTTGCAAGTCTGACGAGTCCACTACGTTTGTGTGTTGGAGAGCGCGGGATGAACATGCGACAGCAAAGCAGGCAGAAACGGACAGACCCATATTTTCATTTTGCAGGAGGGAACGAGCATTCCTAGAAATATCACTGCGCATTCAAATCAAAATACTCAAAAATTGATTTGAATATTGAATAGATGGAATATCGACTCACTGACATAACAATGCTTGCGGACCTCCGTCATTTTTCCATTTTTGGGGGCTTGTACGCGTGCATTAAGGCAACTACATCACGACACTCAAAAGGACATCAGAAGGTGAGCATGGAATATCCCGCGATTCCCTGAACGCCTTGGAAGCACTCGCCAAAAGATTTCCCGGCAACACGACAGCTAGGAGATCAATATCCACCTATATAGATTCAAAGCCACAAAACCGAAGCAAAGCTACCGTCCTGCTGTACGATGTTTTTTCCAATGGCTTTGGTCCTTACGGTATTTTGAGATCGATGCATGCTTGATAATGGTATTGCCCTTGTTAACCATCAAACGTGCATTCTCATGTTGCAAACATGCATCCCATATTAAGATGTGGTTCTTCGAGCAGTCGCTTGTGTACACACATCATGTTGCCGCAAGATCAGGTCCAGATAGTCGCTGTGCCACGCAATCATCCCAGTGGTAAACAATCAAGTCACAGAGTAGAGTGGCAATGAATGTTGCTGCAACGATCAAGACCAGGGTAACACCATTTGTGCAGGAGGGGTGCGTACACGAAGAACGCTTGTGCCTGTTGACAATTGCCGCTCTTGCCACAGGCTGCGGGCAGTGGATTAGCAGCCCTCGTCAGAACACAGGCGCTAATGTTTGTAGAGCACTGCAGCTGTTCCGCTTACGCAGTTTGTTGCCGCATGCGCTTCGCGTTCGAATAGAAAGGGCACACTTCCACACATCAGAATAGAACTGGTTGGCAGCTGTGGCTCACACGTTCGGAAGGTGCGAGAGAAATCCAACCATATCAATTCCGTCTCCTTGTTGCGAGCGCCTTAATTCGCGGCTGGATGCGTGATATGTCTGCTCTTGTGATATCTTTGTCTTCTGAGGCGGCAGTATTACAATCGCCTGCCCGTGCGGAGGAAATACAGACGAGCAATAATGAAGGGGACGATGGTGATGTGCGAGAAAACGGGCCAGGCAGGCTTGTGTGAGTTTGGATTTCTCGAGTTCCATCACAGTACAGTAGAGTAGACTTCTGGCTTCTTGACGCAGGTTCGGATTCCACCACTGGCCATTTCTGGCTATGATGAGCGGAGGAATCCTTACAGAGGAAGGCCCAATTGCCAGCTCAGGTTGTGATCTAGCCAGTGCAGAAAGCAATATCACCCACAAGCAACCAGCAAGCAGCTTGGCAAAAGCCAACACAACTAAGTAAGCTTGAAGAGCCCAAATTCGCTTTTAATGCAGGCGCAAAGTTCACAAAGTAAGGACATTCAAAGTGCAAAACATTAGCAAGACGCTTTCAGTGATAGTGCAAGATGCTTTCAGATGCAGTGGTCAGGTTCGAAGACTTGCGATCTACCCGCATATGGTTGAAGGATTAGTGCCGGCTTGCAAGAGCGCAGCAATCCGCTGGCGATTCTTTGGTAGCATTTCACACAAGGTCCATGTTGTGAGAGACATGGTGAAGCCGTTTCACAGGCGTTATAGTGCTGCTTCTCAGAAAAGGCTGCCAAGAGGTAAGGGCTTCTACTTGTGTGCGTTATTGCACGACAACCACTTACCCTCTTAGTGTTGCATGGCAGAGGGCTCGATGGTGTAGGGGCGTCGCTTTGCCATGCCGACCGGTTTAGAGGAGTTTTGCTTCGAACCGGTTGGAGAAGAGAAGACATCAAAGTGGAACCAAGTGGGGCCGAAGAAGGGCTCCTACATACAGATTGACACATATCAGAATGTGGGTCAGGGTTTTGGGGATTACGACAAAAGCAGGAGTGGGGACTTCCACAAAGTGCGTGAGGGCTCCGGTGCTTACAAGCAAATCCAGACGTACCAGCACGTTGGAGCCGGCCTTGGCAACTATGACAAGGAAGATGTGACTTCCTACTCAGGCTGGAAGCTCAAAAAAGGGTGCCTGATCGTGCTGGTCATTCTCGTGGTTCTCCTTGTGAGTGCTGTGGCCTATTTGCTTATGCATAAAGACCCCAATGCAGCATTTCACCAAGGAGAAATTGCCCACAGCCATGCGCTTTTAGACCATGATTGCAATGCAGGCTACGCCACATGGCAAAGTAGCTGGAGTGACTCCAAAAAAGCTTTCTGTTGCAGCAGCATTGGGGTGGCGTGCAGCCAAACTTCATATGACTGTGATGCCGGCTATGATCAGTGGCAGAGCCTCTGGTCTTCAGAGAAAAAGGATTATTGTTGCGATCGTACTGGCCGCGGCTGTTCCAAAGCATATGCTGAAGACCCTTACGATTGCCAAGTAGGGCTTGACAACTGGCAGTCAACTTGGAGCCAGGGAAAGCAGCTTTGGTGTTGTAGCACACATCAGCTTGGCTGTCCACAGTACAGCCTCAGTTTCGATTGCGAGGCAGACTTCGCTAGCTGGAGAACAGCATGGTCTTGGTCACAGAAGCATTGGTGCTGCGTTCACGAGAAGAAAGGCTGTGACGAGCCTGCGCAATGGGACTGCCAGGCGGGCCTTTCAAGGTGGAGGTCGGGTTGGTCACATGCCAAGAAAACTTGGTGTTGTCGGCATGAACATGTAGGCTGCCTATCGACTGTCGAGCCCTTCGACTGTCACGCAGGCTTGTCAAACTGGCAGCATGGCTGGTCAGAAAGGAAGAAGCGGTACTGCTGTGTCTCCCACTCGCTCGGCTGCGTTACCACGACTCCCACGACTCTGCCCTTTGACTGTATGGCCGGATATGGGAACTGGCAGCATGGCTGGTCTGACGCAAAGAAGGCCTGGTGCTGTCAAGAGGCACACAGGGGGTGCATGCAAAGCACTTCGCACCCGACAACCAGCGCGCCTCCAAGCACTCCTGCACCTGCATCCTGCCACTCCTCTTGCATTGTTGGAGGCCACGGCAGTTCATGTGCGGAGCGGATAACGCACACAGCTATGCACGAGTATGCGCACGAGGAAGGGGCTTGCAGGAAGGCCTATAGCAAGGTGTTGGCCTTGTGTGATGTTTGCCACGCATGCGGCTTCGAAGAAGCACAGTGCAGGCAGCTCCCTGTTGAAAAGCCAGCCCCGTTCGATTGCCGGGCAGGTCTCGGAAATTTGGATTCTGGATGGTCCCAGAAAAAGAAAGATTGGTGCTGCACCCATCAGCATTTAGGTTGTCCGGTGTCATTTGATTGTGATGCCGGACTCGCAAACTTCTACGCCGCATGGTCTGCGAGGAAGAAGAACTGGTGCTGTCGGAAGGAGGGCAAAGGTTGCCTGGGCCCTCATGCGCCGCATCTTCCAGCTGGAAATGGCTTTCTGTGGAAGCGAGCCCAGGCAGATCCGTCAAAAAACATAGCTTGAGGAAGCTCATGCGCATGAGTGCAGCAAGGGGACGGACAAATGCAGGGTGTTTGATCAGGTGAGTGTGGGAGTGAGTGCGTGAACGAAATAAAGGAGAGTCACGAGATGGCCCCAAAGCTCATTTTTAGATGCAAACGATCCTCTCAGAACGCTACTTGACATGCGCGTTCCCACTTGAAAAGGAAAGACTTCAGAATAACTTGCGGGGACCGAGGGAGATGGACATGCAGGAAAGTAAGGCATCTTGTCCATAGTTAAACCATGTATGCCAAACAATGCACTGACTCTCATGTCTTCTTGAAACAGGCCTAGGCAGGGTGAACCATGCTTTCTGACAGGTGCACGGCTATTGGACTTGGATCCGGTCTCCAGCACATGTGCATCATGATCACCCTTCTGATCAGTACAACTGCCAAGCCGGTTTTCACAACTTTGTCCATGCATGGTCCGACGTCAAGCAGCATTGGTGTTGCCATCACCGCGGGATTTCCTGTACAGGCCCAAACCCACCAGCTGTGCACCTCCGCTCCGGCAGCACCTGGGTGCATGTGAAGATCGAGGGTGTGTGGACTTGGAGGCAAGTACCCCGGGACCAGAACAACCCCCATGTTGTGGATTGCAGCACGGGCCTTGATCAAGCTGCAAATTGGGCACCAAGCAGAAAGAAATATTGCTGCACGCACGAAGGCAAAGCATGCTAGCTGCTCATGGTAGTGTAATGTAAATTTAGGAGTTTGCTCACCTTGTGCAGATCGTTGGATATGTGTTTCACAGCGGCTGGTGCGAGCAAAATGCTCGGCCAGACTCTCAGACTCTACGACCTTTCAACTTCCAGGCGCCCTGAGAGAGGCTTTTTTTGCATCTTGTGCACAGGAAGGGAGGTTGCATTGGCTGCATGAACTAGAACTTCTTTGCGCTGCAGCTTGGCGGATGAAAGTCTACTAGTTAGGCGGTTTTAAGGGATTTGCTCACATTTGCTTAGCCCGCCATGGCAACCCTGATGCAGCTGTCAGAGACGGCTTCAGAAGCCAGTGAAGATGATTCAGTTTTCGATTCTGATTTGGAAACAAGCGATGGCGAGGAGTTTCATGGCATCCCAACCTGGCAGACTTCTGCGAACATTGCAAAAAACATCATTGGCGAGGGTATTTTGAGCCTTCCTGCAGGCCTGGCTGCTGGTACTGGGATTTTCTCGGGTGTCCTCATCACCTTGTCCTTCTACGTTGTCATGGTTTACACCTTCTGGACTCTAGGCCGCGTCTGCGAAGTCACAGCTGAGAAGAGTCACAGAGGTATGGGCAATGTAGTTACTGAAGGATTGTGCTTCGGAAACCTAATGGCGGCCACCAATCTAGTGAAGACTTTATTTACCTGCACGGCATATGCCCTAGTCATAGGAAGAAACGCAGAGGATGTCCTTGCTCCCTTGAATTCTGATTCCTGGTTCAGCTCCAGACGTGGCAGCTGGGTGACCATTCTACTCTGCGTGTTATTGCCTCTTTGCCTGCTTCGGGACATGGGCAAGCTTGCCTGGACCAGCTTCTTAGGACTCCTTTGCGAGACTGGTGTTGTCATTTTCATGCTCTGGCGACTCCTGGATGGGTCGTACCAACCTGGTGGCGAGTATTACGCCAGCCAACGACCAGGAACCCAGGCGAGCTGGGGCGAAACGGGGGAGGTAGCTATGTGGACAGTCAGTCCAGCCACCCTGACACTTATCTCAAGCATGTCCACTGCTTTCTTAGCACATTACAATGCGCCCAAATTCTACCATCAGCTGTGCCACCGAAGCTCCAGACAGTTTTTTATTGCTAGTGCTTCGAGCTTTACCTGCGCACTGGCACTGTTCCTGACGTGCATGGTGGTGGGGTACCTAACATTTGGAACGGATTGCGCTGGCAACATTCTGCACAACTACTCAGACCGGGATCCCGCAGCAGCGGCAAGCAGAGCTGCCATGCTTCTTGCAGTGACCTGTGGCTTTCCCATTGCCTTCACAGGTCTCCGCGATGCGGCTTTGTCCCTTTGTGCGTGCTCATCTCGACGCCGGGTGTGGGTGCCAGTGACTCTGTGTTTGCTTACATTGATTGGTGCACTTGGATGGTCTTTGGATGACCTTGGTGCATTAAACAGGATAGGAGGCGCCATTTTGGGCTCGCTCATTACAATGGTATATCCGGGATTGCTGCTAACCTGGGCCTACCCGATGACATTACTGCAGAAGGTTCCGCTCTTTTGGAGGGTGGAAGGTAAGGTTGTTGGGCGTGTGGTGACAGCTACCGGCTTCCTCCTGCTCGTTTTTGGGACTGCAGTGGTTGTCAAAAACACCATTGCATAAACACCTGTGTGAGACATCCGGCTGCTTGCAACAGCATTATGTAGGATTGTACATGTGAAGGCTTTGCCTCCACCTATAGTGGTGCAGCGTACGTTGTTCTACTGCGGTTCTGATGCAAAAGCTTGTGCAGGAGACTGTTTTGGGCTTTTTGTATGCATGTTTCGGAAGCAAGAGCGGCTGACGTCTTGTCCCGACTGTTTGGTGCACCTAGTCTGATGCAACGAGCAGCATGGAGCCAGTTCATGCTTTTTCCTAGTTTTGAGTTGAATTGTTGCGGCTCATGCAATGCAAACCTTTGGTGTTGACCCAACTGAACTTTTGATAGGCAATTTGTTTGCTACTGGATGTAGAGCGGACGCTGCAGCTAATCTCTTCGTGTCACAGAGCCACAGATGCTTGCTTGCAAGCCTCGCATTTAATACCACTGGTTTAGATGGTCCATGCAGCACGATTAGGTTTGTGCAGGAGTCGTGCTAGAACTTATCTGCACAATTAAAATTCCGAGGTACAATTGCATACGATGTACAAGCTACACCCACACTACGATGAGTTATTGGTGCTGTCTCGGAGCTTTGACAAACTTGGGCTGACATTGGCAGAGGACCAGATTCCTGCAGTGAAATTGCAACAGTGAAAATTTCCCATTCATGAAGAGCCTTGAGAACCACTCGGCGTAGACTCGACAGCCTGAACTGCTCCTAAGAATGCCAATGGCATCATGCAAGGATTTACTCTGTTCAGTATTGCCAGTTGGCCATACAATATGTTGACGCAACTGCTGCTGCTGCTGGGCTGTTGCTACTGCTACTGCTACCGCTACTGCTGCTGTTGCTGTTACTGGTGCTGCTGGTGGTGCTGGTGCTGCTGCTTTTCTTGTGTTGTTCGTGACTATTCGACAATGAAGATGGTTGAACATGAGGGCACTAGAGCGAGCTGCGTGGACCTCAGGTCTGGCGTCCCTCCCAAGTTAGTTTATGGCATAGGCACCTGGTTCTGATTCATAGGGTCCCCGCTGTGAGCCGCACTTTTGAGCCCCACTTCGAACACACACTAGCTTGTTTTTGTTGTTACCGCAATCGGCCTCCAGTTCAATCGTTTGTGACATATCACCCTTTGTTGGCAACATCTTGAATAAGGAGCTCTGCCTGGATGATCCAAATTGTTACTGGTGAGCACGAAGGGCGAAATGGATGATGAACCACGACTCCTCAAACTTTAGTCCAACGGTCAGTAACTACATGTCAAACAAGACGGGGCACAAGGCCAGACTACAACACATTTCAGCGCAGTTTCGCCGCCTCAGGGCGCAGCACCGGGACTCCAAACCCTGAAGCAAAAATCTTGGGACTTGCAACTGGCCAGAAACATCACACGCGCATGAGCAGATGCGCGAGAACTTCACATGTCACTACAGGCGAATGAGAGCTTTAACTGCACATGACGAAGACTGGTTTTGCAGCCCTGCTTGTGACATTTGCCGCCCATCACGTTCAGACCTGAACATTTCACACAAGCTCTTCGCGAAGTCATGAGATTTTGGCCAGATAGCGTTGTGCGTGCATCGTCGAGCTCCTGGTAAGTCTGGCAGCGTTCACCTTGGGCGGCTTGGGCTAGTGTTGCGGCAGGTTGAAGTTTAGCTCCCAGTATGGCTATACGTCACGGCGGGCAGGGGGGGCTGACAATGGGGGCGGCAAAACTGTGATGCAGCGAGCATCCCTGGCGTCCTCCAACCCTGCCGCACCGAGACAAAGGAGCAACCTTTCCCACAGCGCTGCATTGTGAGCGACGGCATAGGTCGTGATGTCGTCGGGCGGCCTGTTGCGCAGCACGTGATTGGCTTGGGGCGAGATACAGCAGCTGCGCAAATTGCTCGAGCAAGGCATGCCCCATGAACACGCCAAGAACGAAAACTTCTCGTCGTGGGGGGCTTGGCATTCGTCTCGCGAAATGGTCCCGCCCAACTGCAATATGTCAGGTGGGGCGTCGACTTTGCCCAAAGAGAAAGTGCGAGTGTAGCTTTCATTCAGGGTAGGTCCCGCAATTCGTTTCGACAGCTGCAACATCAGTGTCGCGGCAGAGCAAGCACGCGCTGGTGTGGGCATGAGGGCATACAGGTCCACAAAAAGGCCAGCTACGATTCAGCAACTGCTGTCTGGGCCGGGGTTGCGACGCGCTTGCACGAACCCTCCGCAATACACCTGGTAAATTTTGCACATGCAAAGGCGGGTGGGTTTTACATCCGTCCCTTTTGGGTTGGAGTTGATTGCTGAAGGGGTGCAGCCACGGGATTGATGTTTGCTAGGTTGGCCAAGTGCTCACCGAGTTAGGCGTTCAAAGTCAGCCTGCCTGGCATGATGCCAGTAACACGCGATTCATTCGAGCAGCTGGCTTGTGGGCCCGCCTCCCTAGCCTTACAACAGACGTGCTTGGCAGGACAACTTGCGCAACTCGCCAACCAAAAATCCGTCAGCTTGGGCATCTACCAGGGCAGGGATCGCAGGTCTGCTGCTGGAGCGCCTCTGTCCTTCTTGAATGGGGCGTGCGCCATCGTGACATCGGTGCTGATGGGCCTTGTCGTGTTTGCGCATCATCGGATGATTCCCTCAGGGTTGTTTTGTTGCAGTGTCGAGCGCACGTGCAGGTACGCAGAAGAAGAAGGCTGCGTACTTTTTTGGATCCCGCGCTGGGACTGGATTGGAACAGCCTTAGCGTCAGACTCTGCGCAGTTGGAGGCGACGCGTGTCTGATGTCCAGGAAACCCGCAGCACTGGCACCCCACGTGGAGCCGACGTTTTTGCCGCCTGGACTTGCTCATCTACAGGGCAACACCGGATGGGATCGCGCCGTGCTGCGACACCAGGCTTGTTTCGGACATGATTCGGACGGGCCAGCGCAACCGTGCAGCGCAAATGTCGAAGGACGGCGTTGGCCAAGCGGCGCACATGGGCAACGTGCCTGGAACTTGCAGCCGTTCGCAGCGCCTCGCTGTGCTCAGGCGGAGGCGGGGGGTCGACGCAATGGAGGTGCATCTGGTATGGCACATGATCGTGTGCGCCCGCGCTCATACGGAGCCCCAACAGCTGTCGGCACGTTGCTATGTTCGGCTGGGCACCCCATTCCGCATTGGCATTCATGATAGCATTCAATCAGTTAGCCGCGTGTGACACGCATGGGCGCATTCCGCCACCTCATATGACTGAAAAAAGGCTAAGCCTTATGTGCATCCAACACAAAAGTTCCGAATCAGTTGACGCCATACTTCAGATGGTTGTTTCCAAATGTTGATTTTTTTGACACATACTTTTATGGCCAATCTGCGCACTTCCTTGCTCCATGTGTGGCGTGGACGCCACAACTGTCACGGCAGCGCCACCGAATCTGAAGGCCGTACTGAGGGCAATTTCTTTCCAAATTTTGACCAGGTCAACGAAGCCTTGCGAACAATCAATGTGCCATCCGGCTTCGGAATCGCAACGCTGCATCGAACAGGTACAGCGCATACCGTATTCCATTCCTGCAGGGTTAATGTCTGTGGCGTTGGGCGGCACCGTGCGCCACTACCAGGCTTGGCGGTTTTTCCCCGGCCGCATCTCACTCCCAAATTTTCCCGAGGTGAAGCTGGATGTTGGCCGGCCGGGCAAGGAATCCTGGGCTGACGGCATGGCGTGAGGCGTTTGCTTGGGCGGGGTTGTAATGTAAACGTCATCGAGGAACGAACAAAAAAATCACTGAATTTGGCACAATTGGGAGTGTAGGTAGAGGAGGGCGCATCAACGGATCTCCTTGCTCCCCTCCTCCCTTGCAGCACTTCGTATTCCTCGCCGTGCCTATCATACTGTAGATGACGGTTGGGCTACCCGTAGAACAAGCCTGCACAGGGCACAGGTCCGATGGCAAGGATTGGTTCTGAATTGGGAATGTTTAAAGCGCAGGAGGGGGGACGATTACAAGGATGGTTTTGCCAGGCTGGGCGGGCGTGCATACCGTAAACCATTCCTGCAGGGTTAATGTTTGTGGCGTTGGGCGGCACCGTGCGCAAGAGGTACATCGACTTTGGCGCAACGCAAAATACCAGCATGGGCCACGCACACTGCAGATCGCTGACAGCCGGCACCCTGCTCGCGCCAGCTCTCCGCCAATTCGTTGGCGATGTGCTTCTGCCTTTGTCAAAGCCACTACCAGGCTTGGCGGTTTTTCCCCGGCCGCATCTCACTCCCAAATTTTCCCGAGGTGAAGCTGGATGTTGGCCGGCCGGGCAAGGAATCCTGGGCTGACTGCATGGCGTGAGGCGTTTGCTTGGGCGGGGTTGTAATGTAAACGTCATCGAGGAACGAACAAAAAAATCACTGAATTTGGCACAATTGGGAGTGTAGGTAGAGGAGGGCGCATCAACGGATTTCCTTGTTCCCCTCCTCCCCTGCAGCACTTCGTATTCCTCGCCGTGCCTATCATACTGTAGATGACGGTTGGGCTACCCGTAAAACAAGCCTGCAAAAGGCACAAGTCCGACGGCAGGGATTGGTTCAGACTTGGAAATTTTAAGGCGCAGGCTGAGCGGGATGGGGTCGCACTTGCGACGGCACAGCGCCGCAAGCTGGCACGTTACCCCGAGCTCACTCGCGGTGGCCCCCATCGCTTGTGCACTCTTGCCGCTGAGGTTTGGGGGCACTGTTGCCGCTGAGGTTTGGGGCTTTCGGAGCGACGAGTCCCAGCGTTTGGCGCAGCGCCTTGTTGCATTGCGAGCACGCTAAGCCCCGGCCCCACAGGGATGGGCGAGGCGCTGGTGCGGTGCCTTGGCGGTGGCGGCCAAACGAGCGACACGCAGTCCTCAGAGCCTGGACAATGCTTCCGCTACCCGCAGCCGAGCGTGACGTGCTGCTAGTGGAGGCCCTCGAGTTCGCAGCTGACACGGCGACCAACAGGCTGCCGACGCATGAAACCTTGCCGCCTAGGTATCGGTTGCTCGCTATCCGTTGTTGTCATGCCTGGGTAGGTCTGGGAATGTTGCTCTACTGCGCGTGCCCCCGGGCACAGCACGTGCTGCGGATTTTTCCGCCCGCCCTCAACGCAGCATTCGCAGCCGAGCATGACCACTGCATCCTCAGTTGTTTGGCGCAACTTTTGCAAGTTGAGGCCTCCTTTGACTCCCCGCTGCCAGCTCTGGTTGCCCGCCGGGCCCATCAGCCGCTCTGGCTTGGCGGGCTAGGCTTGCGCAGTGCTAGTGCCCACGTCCCAGCGACGTACCTTGCCTCCTGGGCCGACTCGCGCGCGATCGCTGGCCGAGACCGGCCCTTCAGCGACGGGATTTGTTGCAGGATGTTTGAAGGTTTGCTGCCCACAGGGGGGAATAACAGGCAGGGGTCAGACGAACGGCTGTGGAACCGTGCTTCCTCTCGTCCTACGTGATTCTGAATCTCGCCTTGCCTGATTTTGTGTGGTTCCTGACACCACGTTGTATCTAAGAAAAAACACCTCTTCCATGTTTTTTTGTTTTGGTTTGTTCTTTGGCTTCTTGACTCTTCCGGCTTGTTGGCTTGGCTTCTCGGCTTCAGCTTTTGCGTTGTTTTGTTTCTCCGGCTTTGCGGCTTCGAGATTTTTTCGGTTTCTTTGCCTCTCTTTCTGGCTTTTTGGTTTTTCCTGCTTTGGCTTCCTTGCGTTCTCCACTTTGAAAACTCAAACACCCGTTTAATCTTTGAAGCCACCTGCGCTTATCATATCGTCACCATGGTTGTCATAGGGGTGGGCTGCATTCATCATGTTGTTTGCGAGTAGAAAGAAAGCGGGCGCACCCCCGCCCCACCCCCTTTTTTCACAACCGTTCATGCGTACGGTAAAAACGTATCATGGCTTTGTTTACCGTCGTGGGGGACTGCTACGGGCTGGGGTTATTATTGCCCAAATCTTATGGCCCGTGTCAATCTGGAATGTATTGCTTGCTCATTTTCACTGCTCGCGGGCCTGTATGGTACCTGTCCAACGTGAAGGTCTGGCAAGCTTTTTTGGCAAGTCGAAGCGTCATGGTGGCTTCGTGATTGTCTGCCTACGCCCCCATGATTAGGGCTGGAACCCGCCTCTCATCAGCGATCTCCTCGCGGACTCGTCTGAGGTCCCTCCTTTCGCCAGCCGCATGCGCCGGTGGATTTGTGGATTTCGGCCGCCTCTGTGTTGCTCACCCCGCCCGTGAGCTAGCTATCTGCACTTGGGACCACGGTAACTGTTTGCACAAAGGTCCGTGGGAAAAAAAATCAGCATCATATACCAGTTTTTCACAATATTGGTATGATTGATTGCTTAACAAAAGCATCCTGCATTTTCCTTTTCATTTGTATTTTAAATATTTTCAGGCCGTGCGCTGCCACTCCTGGACCTGGCCATTCAGCAGCCAGCTCCAGGAGCCGTTGCTGTTCCATGTCCACGTCCAGACGTCGAGGCTCCACGGGTTGGCAGTTTGCCTACGGATCCGCATCTCCTCCAGCAAACAACAAGACAGGATCAGCCGCCTAAACCTATCCGGAGCTCGGCCGAGGCGGGCCCCAGCGACTGTGCTAGCCGCACGCTCGGAGGCAGGGCAGCTACAGCGGGGGCTAAGATTGACATGCTGCGGGGGCTGTGACAGAGCGCAGACGGGCGCAAGCTTGCGCAAAAATTGGCTGGGCGAATTGTCCCGTGCCCGCGACATTCTCACTGCAGCAAAGCCTGCAATGGGCGATGACACCACATGGCGCGCACTCGCAGACCCGCAGCCCCGCATTACCGTCCCAACCGACGATCACGGGCCCGGAAGCTTTTCAGGTTGGCGCCGAGCATGCTGCTAGCGCGGCCTGACCAGAAAGGTGCGCAGGGGCGGGAACCGCTCCAACGCATGCTCGCAGGCAGGGCAGCTACCGCGAGGGCTCGGAATGACATGGCGCAGAATTAGCGGCAACGTGCAGACAGGTGGAAACTTGCGGAAAATTTGACTGGGCGAACTGCCCCGTGCCCGCCACATTCTTACCGCAGCAGAGCTTGCACCGGGCGATGACATCACATGGCGCGCACCCCGATTGGCGCCCGCCACAGCCCCGGACCACCATCCCAGCCCGACGTGCTGGAGCCACAGCTCCAGGTGTTGCCACCGACCACGGCCCTTGGCCGAGCTTGGCCCAGCCTCCACGGTGTCTGCCATCGCGGCCCCACCCCTAGACAGGCTCCTCGAGTCCGAAGCAGGGCCCGAGCTCAGCCGTTTGCCGCTGAGGGCGTAGATGGGGGCTCAGAGCCGAGTACGACCAGTTTTTGGGGTCCGCCGGCAGCCAACTCCGGGTAGGATGCCCTTTTGCGCCGCTCCGCGACGCGAAGCGCAGCTCCGTCCATGTCCGCCGCGCACGGCTGTGGCAGCCCCGTGCGCGTCAGAGGCGCCACCAGGGTTGCATCACAGCAAAGGGCAGGGCCTTGGGGAGTGGCGCCGTGGACCAACAGGTACAGTCAGAGCCGGTCGTCCCCACGGCTTGCTGCACCGCGACCGACAATATGCTCCACCAGCGTCGGGCCCAGCTGGTTGCCGCTGCACCGTGGGCGGCACTCGGCACACCCGGATGCGGCTGCGCGATGCCAAGCATGGCGGGCGGCGGGCCTGTCGGGCATGCGGTCGGAGCACTTGACGCATGCTCCAGGATGTTACGGCGCTCGAGCTCCTGCCGTGCGGCGCCACACGGCTGGCCAATGAGCACGTGCCCGCCGACATTGCCTCAGGCCTCGGCATGGCGCGGCTGAGCGCACTCCAAAACCTGGAGGAAAACCTGGAGGAGGGGTACGTAGCATTGCCACCGGGCAGTTGGCGGCCCATGTGCGCACCGCATTTGAGTTCGTCGTGCGGGCTGTTGAACAGCCTTGCAGCATTGCTTTTACAAGTGGCCAAAGCGTAGGGTTTGCTGCCCAACCCCAGGCCCGCCCCGTCAGCAATGGCCGAATTGGGCCCCAATGTCTGGCGAGGCGACAAACTGCCGATCGCGCTTGCCTTAAGGTGTTGGATGTACTTCCACAAGCATTTGGGCTTGCAATTTGCAATCCGCCGGGTGAGTCGACACACTCGCAAGGAGCAGCTTTGGATTTCGTGATTGCATCACCACAAGTAATGGAATTTGTTCGCGTTCACAGTGCGTGCCCGAATGCTTCTATTCGTTGCCCATTATTAGCAAGTGACTATTTTGCAGCTGAGATCCATTAAAGGAAGAATGTTCTCAAAACTTCCGTCCCAGGTGAGCGCCCAAAAGCGTCATGCGCGTGACTGGGGCCGTTTGCTTGAAGCTCAAGTTGGTCGCGTCCAGCGTTGGTCCCATCGCGTGCAAGCCCAACTTGATAATCCTATGTGTGGGCCAGTCCCGCAGCAAAGATTTCAATTAGACGAATTATACTTTGAATTGATTTGCTAGACATCATTTGGAAGGCCGCCCCTAATCTTTCTAGGTGCCCCTGCAACAGAAAACAAAAACAACCATCATGGTGGAATGTCAAACATGTTCAACCTGACCTTTGCCGCGCAGCTTTTGCTCTCGAGCGCTGTTTATGGAAGCAGGCCATAGCCTCGCGCCTGCGGCTGCCTCGGGGTCTCTGAGCGCTTTGATACTCGTTTTGAGTCAGCAGCTGCTTCGCTCCTGCTTTGGATGTCGGCTGCCCTGCATTGGATACTTCTACTGCTCTGCCGCTCTGGGGTATTCGCTTGGATTTGGTTTCGCTGGTGCTGGGGATTGCCATAGGCCTGACTTTATATCCCTTGCTGGAGCTCTTCTTTCTTTGTGCGAGCTTGCATCAAAGCTCGGTTGAGGGGCAACCCGGACTCCTTGTACAAGATCTTTGAATGAGCCTGTCTGATCTTCAATCTCAAATTGACAGTTTGAGCTTGCGGCTTCGGGCTCTTGAGCTGGAAGTTCGGCGCGGTCCGCCGGCATCTACTGAGGCACCCTCATCTTCGGCTTCTGTTTCTGGATGCCGGGTCGTTGAGGCCCCTGGGGAGACCGCTGAGGAACACGGCTTGCTTTCTTGGGAGCGGTGTTTGGAGCTCGCTCGCTGCATTGGTGATTTCTTTCTTCGTTGCTTGGAGGGCGCGAACAGAGGACATTCAGGCCAAAACCAGGTTGGATTGCCCAAGCGGGTGTACGTGCCTGTGCGGGACAAGAAGGCCAACGTCTTCAGGGGCCCTGTGCGGGTTTTTGCCCGGTTCAGTGACATCAAGGCCTTTGTGGAGGTGGGCTCCGGCCTCCCATCGGGAGGCGCGAGAGGCAGTTCGTCACGCTGGATTTTCTTGGCCAACTTCATCGGCATGAGCGCCCCGGACGAGGGGGAGGAAGCAGCCAGCGAGCACGAGGATGTCGATGGCCTGCCCTTAGGAGCTTGGAATGCTTGTTTGGTTACATCTTCCGGCGACCAGCTAGAAGAAGCGCTTAGGGGTTTTTGTGTGGAGATAACAGCCAGGCACGGTACTCAAGTGATTCCTGTTATTCCCAAAGTAGTGGTTGGGGGTCGCTTGTTGATTGCAGTTCCCGGGTCAGTTTGGCACCGAACCCTTTGGCAAAGATTGTTGCCTGCCGGAGCCTTGAACAAGCCTGCTCTAGCCGTTGTGGCCGGCGTCATCCCTAGGGATCCTCCTACTCAGGCCAGCTCAGGGGTGGAGGTCAAGGTTTGGGTTGCATACGCTTCAGCCCAACTAGAAGCTCAGATCAGGGCCGAGGAGCACGAGGATGTGTTCGAACCAGCCTTCTCCGATTCCGATAGTCAAGCTTGTGCACCCTACTCGGCATCTTTGATCCAGCTGGCCGACGACCACTTCTCTTTCATCACTGCAGAGTCAGAGGCCCCTCATCCAAGCCGAGGAGCACGCGGCAAAGCTAAGAGTTTTATTTTGGTCTCT